ATATAATATAAATATAATGGATATAATGTAATGAAATATAATATAAATATATTATATTTGATAAAGTTTTTGAATTTGTAGTAAAGTATATTGTACAATATTTTGTTTTATATTGTATACGTACAGCTTGGTATTTCTTTTATAATACTTTAAATTTTATAAAGTGATTGTACATAATTGCATATGAATAACAGAATATTATTAACAATTTCTTTTTCCTTAAGATACTACGTTCTGAAATAACAAATGTCTGTGTCAATGAAAATTAGTATTATTTGGTACATAGACTATTACATTTATTAATATAAGTAGGAACATGAAGAGTAATAAAATTAAGCACCTTATGTTTTACAATCAAGTAACCCATTTAAGTCTCTATGTTATAATGTTTAACCTTAGTTCTTCACCGACGGACAACAAGACACTCGTGATTCAAACCTACGGATCATACTCGATTCGGCGCGTCGTTTGCCCGGCACGTGGGTATACGACCTTCGCCTTTCAGAAGTTAATAAAAGGTCATCCAAATTCGATGTCGCATCCTTAAGATAAAATAAAATTACAAATTATTGGATACTTGTCTAATTTTTTCATTTTGTCAGATAGTATATTTTATGACATTAATCGTGAGATACAGTAGCATTCAAGTGTCCACACCGGCGTTTCTTTACGAGTCGGATACAGTGAATTCACTTTTCCATATATGACATTTTTTTGTTGTATAGAAAACAATATTAATATTTCTTGTGGAACGAATTACAAGCGATACCTATGAGATCTGACATAAATCGATTAAATTTTTCCACAATTCGATGAATTGTTTGTTTAGAACGCAATAGAGTCAAACGGAAACTGAGTTTTGATAATAAATTTTCTTCGTCATTTCTTTATCATTTTTTCGATTAAGCTTATTAAAAAGACATGGAGATGTGTCAATCGGTTTTTGAGTGTTATCTCTTGAAGGATGTGACATTTAATCTGGTTGATTCCAAATAAGATTTTCATTTTTTCAATTTTTTTTCAGTTAGTATTTTCATTCCTAGTTAGATAGAAAAGCAATGTTCATACTTAGATCATTGGTCCGTTATGCGTAGATTAAATTATGAATATGGGGAAACGATACTGATGAAACTGGTTTTAACTCTTGAAATTGTACGTTGAGCGATTCTAACTTCTATTTCTCTTAAATAACATTTGCTATTTTGTTATATTATGCAAATTGTTGATTTTATTATTCGTACTATTTCAAATTAGTATACAACGGATTATAAATAATTACATGTTAGAATACTCAAAATTTAAATTAAGCTTAACAAAAGTTCCTACGTAATGAGACAGCACATAACTATATTTACCGTTAGCATACAAAAAGTACTTAGTAGATGAAATAAATAGTAGCAAGTGCCGAATGTTCGGTGACTATAGTCACTTTTAATAATAATAGGTGGTATAGTAACGATAGGGTTTTCGTCAATATTACAAATTGTACGACTCAACAAAAAGGCAAACTCATTTTCAGTCCTTTTTTTTTGTAATACGCTCGTTTGTGTTCTAAGGAAACAAAAAATGTATGATTACGTCTAGCGTTATTATCTGTCATCATTACACTCGTTTTGGACTTCGATATATTAATATTTACATCGAAACAGAAACTTTAAATAATCCTTGACACATAATTAAAATTCGTGTCTCTTAAAGGTGACGGTATTTGAGTTTTCATTGTAATCAATAACGGGCGTCGAAATAGTGAAAGAGGATCGGTAGTTTTCTTTTGTATTCGGTGAATCTTGCTGAAGACGACTGCTTAAGATATGTAACCTTATATCCAAGTATGTACTCGTTGTTGCTGAGAATTTTCCTCCTCTTGTCAAGAAACGTGCCCACTAGTTCGCACGTCTTTCCATTTTCTTCCCCGATGATGAGGCAAAAAGTGATCGTTTCCTCCTCTCGCTGATTGCTGGTACAACGGTATTCGTGTCGTGCCTATCGAAATTAGAAACAGGGCTTGTTTGCATCGATACAAGGATTTTTACGTACCGACTTCTACTTAATTTTTCCTTAATAGATTCTAAGATGAAGTATCATCACATTTGGATATACACAGAGATTGATTAATTAATCATTAGATCTACAGGAAAGTTCTGTCACTTTCATGCATTCGAAGCTCGTAATAGAAAAAAAGCTGTTTCTTACGAGGTTGTAGCTACTTTATTTTGAACAATCTAAAATATCATAATTTTTAATAAAATTAAACTTCTTATTAGGAAGTAGTATAAATAAAACATGAGGTGGTGTAATAGATGTTCATTGATACTGACTTTAATTTTAAGTAATGGAATTATGTTTTGGCAGTGTCAGTGTTACAGCATTTGTGGAAAAATCTCAACAAATTCTCAGCTATGCACTGGTTTGTCAAACATGTTGACATGTTGACTCCGAATTTTTTCGCAATTTATATTTACCATTAAATAGGGAAAATGGGACAAAAACTGATAATTCAAATTTATCCTATAATTACTCTTCTGGTTGAGATGTTTTTTATGGATAAGCTATGGAAGGAAACTTTTGCGAGAAAAATCAGTCTAAAGACACTTTTGACCCCTTTATTCTGCTGTACCCTTAATTGTGCGAAATCATGAGAGACATAGAGCAACAATGGAAGGAGGGTTTAAAGAAAAATAAATTAAGAATGAAATAAATTAACCATATACTCGTGACTCATATAAATTGAGATTGTCATATATTTTCTCTCTCCATTGTACACAAAAAGTTGTCTTCTAGTCACTACAGAACACTGTTAATTGCTGTTTACGTTTCTGTCTTTTTATAGTAATTTAGATTTTTATTAGAGTAATGCTCGTTTAAATTCCATAAAATCTGCACGGCTAAATTTGACTGTACCACCCCTACTCTTTCCCCACTACTCACTGTCTCGAGCTACGTGGGCAGAAAATGAATACAATTAATAGTTACAATGAACAATACAATTTTAATTGCAATAATTTTAACCTTATTTTCTTAATCGTGTTACCTGTGGAATATCGAGATTCTTCTCATTAAAATGAGTTCAAACACAATGTAAATCGGTCTAGTTTTATCGATTTAGGGAAAATGAACTTTTAATTTTGTTGATTACATTAAATCGGTAAAACTAGTTCGATTGTTATCGTGTTTGGTCCCATTTTAATCACGACAATTTCAGAAATTCACTGATATTATATTTGAGAAGGTGCAGTTAAAGTTACTGCAACTGAAATTGTCTTCATTAGATATTCATATATATTTGACGCGTGCGGCATCGCTTTGAAGTCCCGCGTTTCGACCTTCGATCTTTGGCGGACTGTATCTATCCTGCTTCCGCTCACTATATCGATTCTCTGCCTTTGTCAGACTGTGCTCGTGTCAATTCCTGGAAACAAATAGCTTCTTCCTGTTCTTTGTGCTCGGTTATATTTCACTGCTGGGACTCGAAAGTATGGAATTTAAGCGAGCATTACTGTGATGTCGTAGAAAACTCCAAGTATAGCTATTTTCCCAATAATGTCACGCAACTCAAGTGGTCCAGTGACACGTCAGGGTGCAGTGCAAGCTATTTTATCTCAAAGTTAGGTAAAATGTAATGTGATTACATATTATTGAAAGTAATTTAAATGTCATAGTTGATATAATAGCAAATTATTTTTTGCATTTATTGAAATTGAGGTGATATGGTGACTGCGATTTAATAAATATAGATAGAAACTTGCAAACGAATAAAAGTTGCATTTTAATCTTAATTTGTAATCAGATTTTGCCCAATTTTATTTTGCCTTTGCTCTGGTTGATTTGCAACTTGCTGCTGTCTCGTGACTGAAGATAAAAGAGGATAGTGTCGAGCAAGCAATAGATAGTATCGGGTTTAACATACGAATAAAAAATTATCCACAGTGATTGGACCGATATCAATGCTATTGATGACATCTAAACAATTCTGAGTGCTAATTGTCAATTTTCGATATTAATACTTCTCGAAGTAATATTAAATAATATTAATTTAACACTGTGAATTTATTGATACCCGTTTGATATCTAATGATTAGACTGCGGATTTTTATGCACTTATGGGAAATTTGGAAACGCAAAATTGCACAAAATTCATACGACACAAAAAAATATATAAAATATCTAAAGCTTAGTGCTTTTCATGACATTTGTTAAGAAAAACCATTTTCCATTGTAGTTCTGCTTTCCTGATTACGATCTTGCACAAAGATCCGTGGTCCACTAATAATATTGACGACACTTATTTGATATTTTACAAAATTACCGATATTCATTTGACATTTAATTCTTAAGAGCATTCTTTATTTGTGTACAACATGCGATGTATAAATATTAATTTTAAAAATTTAACAAAAATGGTACGTGAAGGCAATACTCTTCTTTTTACATATTTGTAAATGTGATATTATATTGTCAAAGTATGCGTTCATTTAAATGGAATGGTTACTAACCACCACAATATTAATTACTACATCTACTTTTATAATAGAAAAAGAGATGCAGTATAAATAGCAGGAAGTTATGTACCACCTGTCAATTGCGGAATCAACAAATCTGAATTTAATAATTGTTTTTGAATCTATCTTGTTCAATCAATAAAAAATAATTGTTTTTGAATCTATCTTGTTCAATCAATTAAAAATAATTTTGCTTAATAAGATATCAATATTTTAGTGTAGTATCAAATGAGAATTCATTAAAGGTGCTCAGTTCCTGAAATAATTGGCTTTAAGTGAAAGTAAGATTTTTTATAAGCATGAGTAAAAGAATAATAATGAATAGAAATAAAATATAACGAACTTGGTTGTTATTTTTACTTCATAGTCTATCTTTTCTAATTTCAGAATTCTCGAGAAAAGCAGTTTTTTAGGCATTCTGAACATTTTTGCAAATTCGCCTGAACCCGAAAAAACTCTAGTGTTATCTAATATTATCGATACATGCATAAAAGTATTAATATGCTCGGAACAGATGCCACTGGAGTTTCCAAGAAGGAATCCTGTGGTTCTCTTGAGAACTACAGTATTGTTTTGCGAACTGCAGTTGGGAACTGTAAGAAGCTAGGATTCGCTTACTTTAGGAACTAGTTTCCATTCGTCTCAAATCTGTTACAGGGGTATTCTGGTCTAGAGTGCTGTTTTTCACGTCATATTTAGGATTATTTTCCAAACAATCATAAAGCTTTTCACAAAATTATAACTTGCAAAAATATTTTATTATATTTTACAAAACATTTATTGATACTTTGACCATGAGAATTATTTTTTAAAGTAAAATTAGTGAAAAATATAAGAATAATATTTGTATTAAAACATACTGTTTGTTCCAAGCTTTTATTTTACGTTTTATCACAGTACTTTACTCACTGATAAGATTCTGACCATTTTGATAATCAAAAACAAAAAAATGAAGGAGCTTCTTATTTTTTGCCATCTTGTTAAAAAATAAAAAAAGACAACAGATTTAACAAATTTTGGTGCATGCGATAATGGCGCATCTGCGTTTAAAGATTTCTCTATGATATATTTATATGGAAATGTATATATTTTTGACCACGTAATCGGTTAATCTTGAACCATAAAATGGTTCTTTCTTTTGTTCAAAGAACTCTTGTTTAACCGTTTATTCTTTTCGTTGAGCAATTTTAGGTTTTTTTGCTATTTTGGACGACTGATACTGTGAAGTATTCTGCGTATATTTTAGAAGAAAACGTGTTCTATAGAAATAGAATATAACTTGTTTCTGCGTTGCTCAGGCATCCAAATTAAACTATACCAATTTAAAAATATGTTTTGGAGTTGTCAGAAGAGGTCTGAAAAGTCCTCCTTTCCTAAATCGGAACAGTTTGACAATAAATGTCCGGCAAGAGTGAAAAATGTATTTTCGGTTATGGTGCGACTGTACAGGGTGAAAAGAAATGATTGTACTTCTTTGTCATAGCGTCATTCTACACCTTTGGTTTGATGGAGATTAAGGAAAAGAAACTGCTACAAAATTCGCTTCGACCTTGGAAAAAAGGGTTTACATTTTTTATTGAGTCATCGTATCCTACTCGTCGCGGAAGCATAGTCTCAAAGGAACCATGAGTCAAAAATGAATAGTTTTCTTGTAAATCGCTGTTGTATTTTGTACGAGAGAGTAAAGGAAGGCAATATCGATTGTCCTTTTCTGATATACTCTGTCCATTAGGAGAATGTGATCGACACTGTTTATCGATCGAGCCGCTGCGGTAAGTTAATTCTTTGCGCTCGAGAGGCGCTTTTTGGTCTCCATTAAATTACACCTAGCGAAATGCTAATGTTCAAAATTCAATATTAAATTTTATACAACCTATCAACATATGTAACATGAAAATAAAATAAAATCCTACTTCACAATCTACGCAACATACATCTTCCTATTAGTTACAAAAAGTACCATTGATACTTCCTTAGAAAATTATGAACATTCCAGAGAAATATTTCTGAGTGCAAAGGGTTAATAGTTAATATCAATAATTTTGTTGAAAATTAATATTTACAAATTTGTTACAAAAATTAAAAATATATAATATAATATAATATAAAAATATATATTTTATATATAAATACAATTAAAATGTTACAATGAATTGTCCGAATTTTCGTTATCACCGGTTTGCCCGGAACACAATTCACTAAGGGTCAACACGAAGTTCTTAAGGAGAATGGAATTGGCATTGTTTACCGGTTAAATACAACTATCAATGAATCAAGCTAACGAGTGCAACGACTGCTTTCTGGTATGGTACAAAATGGTAAAATATGACAATTTGATGCAGAATGAGCTCAGATGATGTCGATTCCGGTGACCCGTCCTGTAACATAAAAAGTCACTCTACATTTTACTCTCCCATGGAAACGTCAACAGCAATTTGCAAGCGAACTATTCATTTCCGACCCATACTGTCTTTCAGACTATTT